AAAAAAAAAAAAAAAAAAAAAAAACCCGGGGCCCCCGGGGCCCCAAGTTGTGGTGGGGGCCCCCAGGCTTCTCTAGGGGCCCCTCGGGGGCCCCCCTGGCGTGCTGCGGGCCTTCCGGGCCCTTGGGCCCCCCCCCTCTGCCTGCTGCTGCGTGGACAGCGCAGCAGCAGCAGCAGCAGCAGCAGCAAAGATGGAGCGCCGGGGAGAGCCACGTGCGGGAGGGGGCCCCCCTGGCGGGGGGCGGAGGCCCCGGCGTGGGGCCCCTCAGGGGGGCCCCCCAGTTTCGGCCGCGAGTTCGAAACTTGGAAATTAACTTTTTGGAAATAGACCCTGACAACCCCACGAGGCTTTTGGAATACTTTTCAGATCTTCTCAAACGCGGGGACTTGGAGCCAAGCGAGCCCCAGAAAACCCTCATGCAGCAGCTCCAGGTGCCCGAGGGTTTAGGGTTTAGGGTTTAGGGTTTAGGGTTGAGGGTTTGGGGCTTGGGGCTTGGGGCTTGGGGCCTGGGATGCAGGGTTTGGGCTTTAGGGTTTGGGGTTTGGGGTTTGGGGTTTGGGATTTGGGGTTTAGGGCTTGGGGTTTGTGGTTTAGGGTTTAGGGTTTAGGGTTTATTAGGGTTTAGGGTTTAGGGTTTGCGGGTTGTGCTGCTTCATTAGGGTTTACTTGACGCAGTAGAGGCAGAGCAGCTGCGAGGGTCTGATGAGTTTAACCCTGAGGAGACTGAGGCCTCCAAACCCTCAGAGCCTCCCCATTCAAAGGCAAACCCTAAACCCTAAACCCTAAACCCTAAACCCTAAACCCTCATGCAGGCCTGTGGAGACTTGGGGTTGCACCCTTGAGGCCCCCAGAGTTTAGATTTGGGCCTGAACCCCAAGGGTTTTGGGTCTAGAATTTAGGGTTTAATGTTTAGTGTTTAGGGTTTAGGGTTTAGGGTTTAGGGTTTGCGGTGTGCAGGTCCTCAGCTCGTTGGCTTCTCTTTGGGGTCGATTGTCTTCTCCCCAGAAGACAGGTCTGCTTTTAAATATTTGAAGGCCTTGACTCTAAAGCCTAAACCCTAAACCCTATACCCTAAACCCTAAACCCTAAACCCTCTGAGTTCTCTCTACTCGGGCTGTACGTACACCCGGTGCATGCAAATGCGCTCACTGCGCCTCCCAAAGGACTCCCTGAGCCGCAAACCCTAAACCCTAAACCCTAAACCCTTCCTGTTGCCCGGGTTTGCTGCTGCAGAGCCCGGGGCGGACGCTGCTGCTGCTGCTGCTGCTGCTCCTGAAACCCTAAACCCTAGAATTCGGGGACTTTACATTTGGGGAGGAGTTGGCCAGGGAAAGACAATGATATTAAATGCCTTTTTTGATTGTCTTGCAATTAAAAACAAACAAAGAGTTCACTTCCACCAATTCATGCTCGACGTGCAGCAGGTCAGGCCTAGGGTTTAGGGTTTAGGGTTTAGGTTTTAGGGTTTAGGGTTCAGGGTTTAGGGTTTAGGGTTTGGGGGTTGGGGGCACTGCGGGGCTTCAGCGCCTGAAGGGGCGCTGCAGAGACTGTTTTAAGGAAAACCCTCAAGTGTTCTCGGCCGCGTGGCGGGTGACCCTAAACGCTTTTTCATAGAAACCCTAAACCCTAATTTAGGGTTTGCTGCAGGAGCTGCACCAAATCAAGCAGCAGCAGCCGCCCGTGGGAGACCCCCTGATGGAAGTGGCGAGGAAGATAAGACAGTCTGCGAAGGTCCTTTGCTTTGACGAGTTCCAGGTGGGTTCGAACCAACGATTTAGGGTTTAGGGTTTAGCATTTCGTGTTTAGGGTTTAGGCCTAGGGTTTAGGCCTAGGGTTTACGGCTCCGGCGTTTCTGCAGGTTGTGCACATTACTGACGCCATGATAATGAAGCGCCTCTTTGAAGGTCTTTTTTCGGCAAGTCTGGGGTTTGGGGTTTGGAGTTTAGGGTTTAGGGTTTAGGGTTTAGGGTTTAGGGTTTAGGGTTTAGGGTTTAGCTTCTAGGCCCCAGAGTTTGGCGCAGAAGGGTTTAGCCTTTGGCGTCTTTTGAATTCCAGCCTGAGCTTTACGTCTGCAGAGTCGCTGCAAGCCCGTGAAAGCCTGGCCCCAAACCCTAAACCCTAAACCCTAAACCCTTTTTTGTGGTTTCTGCAGCTAGGAGTAGTGGTTGTGGCCACCTCGAACCGCCCCCCCAGCGAACTTTATTTGGGGGGTTTAAACCGCGAGAGGTTTCTCCCTTTTATTCCTCTTCTTGAAAAGTTCTGCAAAGTCTACCACATCGACACCAAGAAAGACTACAGGTCCCCAAACCCTAAACCCTAAACCCTAAACACTCGAGCCTGCTGCGGTGGCTCGTCGCCTACGCGGGCTTGCCCCCGAACCCTAAACCCCAAATCCTAAACCCCAAATCCTAAACCCTGAACCCCAAACCCTAAACCCCAAACCCTTAACCCTAAACCCTAAACCCTAGGGTTTTGTGGCTTTCAGACAGGCGAAAGGAGGGGTGAGTTGCCGGCGGTTGTTTTACGCTCCCCCAAGACCTGAAAATGAAATTTTTGATCAACTCCAAAAAGCAGCAGGAGGGCCTCTTGAAAAAGGGGAAATTCAAGTGGGATCTGGCCGCAGCCTCGAGGTTAACAAGCCCTAAACCCTAAACCCTAAACCCTAAACCCTAAGCCCTAGTGGTTGCGGCGTGCGGGTGTGTTCAAGTGTACGTACACCCGGCGCCGCAGCCGCGCCGCCGCTGAGCAGACGAACGAAACGCGAGCAAACAAGCAAACAAATAAATAAATGATGAATAAATAATGAATAAATAATAAATAATAATAAGTAAATGGAAAATAGAGAATAAAAAGACGAATAAATGGAGAAACGAAAGGGTTTCGCGAGGGTTTGCGCAGGTGCCGCGCATGCGCGCGGGCTTCGCAGCCTTCAGCTTCGAGGACTTGTGCTGCAGCAACGTGGGAGCAGCAGATTACTTTTCTCTTTCTTTTTCTTTCCACACTTTGTCCATTCGATCCATTCCAGATCTCCATCAAATGGATTTGTTTCCCAACGAAATCCGGAGATTCATCAGCCTCATTGACGTCCTCTACGAGCGGTGACGCGAGGGTTTAGGGTTTAGGGTTTACGGTTTGGGGTTTGGGGTTAGAGTTTGGGGCTTGGGGTTTAGGGTTTGGGGTTTGGGGTTTAGGGTTTGGGGCTTGGGGTTTAGGGTTTAGGGTTTGGGGTTTGTGCCTGGGGTTTGTTGCCTCTTCCTTGTCCTCGAGCGCTCCTTTCCGCGTTCTTTGGCCGACTCCGAGTGTTTAGGGTTTAGGGTTTAGGGTTTAGGGTTTGAGGGCGTGTTTGGCTGCAGCTCAACTAGGGTTTTGTTCGACGCAGAGGCCCCTCTTTTCCGTCTTTTGGGAATTCCAAAAGCAGCAAAAAGAGTCGAACAAATTCGCCAACAAATTCAAAACAAATTCCACAGACTCGACGACGCACTCCTCGCCCTCAGCCAAGTATGCATGCATGCATGCAAGTATGCATGCATGCATGCAAGTATGCATGCATGCATGCAAGTATGCATGCAAGTATGCATGCATGCATGCATACTTGCATGCATAAACAAATATTTTTAGTAATATTCATTGTACAGTAAATCATATATGTGTGTATATGTTTATTTTACCTTTATTTATATTTAAATGTATTTTATTTTCTTTTATAATTTACCTTTATGCATTAACGCATATATGCGTGCGCATGTGGTGTATATACATGCATGCGCAAAAGTAAAAAATAAAATTAATTCGGGTGTATGTCCACCTCGTGCACAAAGACTGCATGCAACGGAGTGTACATGCACCTGAATTTATTGCAATTAATTGGATCTGAATTTCGGCGAATTTCCACTCGTTTTAATTCCCGTAAAAGGGAAATAACATGCAATTCATTTATTTATTTATTTATTTGATTAAAATACATTTAATTGAAAGAGTTAAAGTGTAATTTGAAGAATAGTCGAAAACGAAGAAGGCGGCACTGACAGCTCCTGAATTTGCATTCTCCGGGGTGTCTGTGGGAACAAAGAGTACCTAGAAATATATTTCGTTCTATTTAATTTAATTAAATTATTTCATTTTATTTTATTTATTTTTTGGTTTTAATTTCTTTTTTGTTTTCAGTTCAGCGAAAACAAAGAAAGCTTTTCCAGCGAAGAGTGGCGGGCGGCGGCAACGGCGGTTTTGGGGCTTTCGGCTTCGTGTGTCTGTTGAAGAAAAAATTGCAAATTAAATGAATTAAATTAATTTTAAATCAATTGATTAATTATTAATTTAATTATTTTAAATAATTAATCCTTCTATTTCATTTTTAATTTAATTTTCATTCACTTGCTTTTCAAAAAGTTGATCAGCTTGCTGCTTGCAGCGTTCAATTTCAGGTGTCTGCTGAGCTTTTGGTTTTGAGTTATTTCATTTTATTTTTTAATTCTTTTTAATCCTCTTTTTGTTTTAATTCTTTTATTTAATTTAATTCTTTAAACATTTTAAATGGTAAAACAAATTAAACAAATAAATAAATTAAATAATTCTTTTCAATTTCGTTTTCTGCAGAAACGCCGATGAGGCATTTTCGATTATGACTTCCCGCGGCACTTTTCCTTTAGACTCGAATCGCATTAGGTAATTAATTTAAATTAAATTCATTTATTTATTTTTAGCTTTTATTTTTCCTTTTTTGTTTTATTTATTTATTCTTCAATTCATTTACTTGCTCTTTTGTTTGAATGTTTGTTTCTCTTGTTTCATTCGTTTATTCGTTTTCTGCATTTTTACTTTTTAATTTTTAATTCTTTTGATTTTTTAACTTCAAGTTTTGAAAATGTTTTTCGATGTACCCCACACCGTAGAAGTGGCATTTGTCTGTTTTCTTTTTTTTCTTTTTGATTTATTTTTTAAATTTCATTTTGTTTTTAATTTCTTTCCTGAAAATTTCTTTTTTCGCTTTTTGTGAGTGCTTCACCGGGTGTCTGTACACCCGAACCAGCAAAAGACTTGTTTCTCTTTCTGCCCTTCAAAGCCGCAAAGGCACTTCACTTCTCCCGAATTAAAAACTAATTAATTAATTAACTAGTTAATTAATTAATTAGTTAGTTATTTAATTAATTAACATCAATTAATTTATTAATCTTTCCACTTTTTGGCTGTTTTCAGGGCCATTTTGTTTTTCCACATGACTTCTTTCGACTTCGAGGCGCCAACAACTGCAGATTTATTTCTTTTCAGTTCTGAAAAAGAAGCTGCGCAGGTTTTGCAAAGTCCCGCAGTTTACGAATTGAACAAGTTCGCGAAAAGTCGAAACTTGGAAAAATTTAATTCTTCTTTTTCTTTTCTTCTTTTCCCGAATTAAATGCATGCATTTATTGCTCTTCAAACTTAGGAATTTGCATGCGTTTAAGTGTCTCATTTGTTTTCTTTTTGCCAATTAAGTGCATGCACTTACTGCTTGGGAATATGCATGCGTTGAAGTGCACGTTTGGGGCTTTTTGGAGTTCCAAAATTTGCATTTTCTTTAAAATAATTTTTGCAAATATATTTAAGACTTTAGTGAAAATGCTGCATGCATTTATTTCCGCGAGGTTTTATATTATTGTATCAAATTCATGGACTTTAAAATATCTTTTTTTGTCCTTTTTCTTCAAATTGGGACTTTTGTTGTTTCTGCCATTTCTGAATAAATGGACCCATTTAAAGCTGCTGCTCTTTTTTTCTTTTTTTCGTCTTCTCTTTTTCTGTTTCATCTTTTGCTTTTTTCTTGCTTGCATCTTTTCTTTCTTTTTTTCCTTCTTTCTTTTCTCATTTTTTTCATTTTTCCTTTTTCTTTTTGCCACATCTCCCTTTCTCCTTTGTTCTTTTCTGCTTTTTTTCTCTTCTTGGCGACACAGCGAAGGACTGGAGTCTGCGGGATCTCAAGACAATCAGTTTTCGTTCGTTCGCACGATTTCGCGGTGAGTGGTTGGGGTGTACGTACACCCGGGGTGTACGTTCACCTGGGGTGTACGTACAGCTGGGGTGCACGTACACCTGGGGTGTACGCACACCTTGGGGTTGCGCGTGGGCGGCTTTGAATTGAAGTTATATTTAAAACAGTTTCTTTTGGAGTTTTCTTTTTGTCTTTTTGTTTTCTTTTTGTTTTGAAATGCAGAATTAGAGATATGACTTCTTTGCCGTATTTGCGGGCGCACCAGAAGGCGCACAAGTTGAACGACTTGGCGGTGTTGGGGATAATTGAAAAGTGAAAATTTGAAAAAAGGGGAAATATAATGAAATTAAAACGAAATTAAGTCGAAATAATCAAATATTGATTCTAAATAGTCAAATAAAACTCTATTTGATATAATTCAATCAACAAAAAGTCAAAACTTAAATGCAAATTCAAAATTCAAATTCCCCTTCGAAGCAGCTTCTCAGCAGCAGCGCCCGCGGCCATTTCACTTCGCCGCAGTTTTATTTCGAATGCATTTATTATTCTTATTTAGTCCTTATTATCATTTATTATTATTTATTGTTTATTATTATTTATTACTTATTATTTATTATGATTATTGTTGTTGTTATTTATGAGGCATTTGTTTGCAAAGCTCCCGGCTGGTTTATTGAATGGCTTTCTAGCAGCTTTCCTTCTTTTTCTGTCATTACGCGAAAACGCAAAACTCGAATTCAAATTTTTTGTCGACTTGAGTTGCTTTTCAAAAATTATAATTTTCATTATTACTTCAGAAGAGATCTTTGAAAACTTGGGAAATTATTTACTTCTTTTTAGAACCAGAAATAGTCCTTTTAATTTTAAAACCTCACTTCTGGCGGAGTCTAAAGAGAAGGGCTGCGCCACTTTGCGTAAATTAGCATTCTGCATGCATGCAAAAATGCATTTGAGGAGAATAGTTTTTAAAACTATGTTTCATTAGATAACTTTCACATCTGAAAAAGTAAAAGCTGTTTAAATTGCTTGAAGAGCTCCAGTTCACAATCTGTTGCATCTTCTGGCGTGGGGCTAAATGGAAAGGAATTGAAAATGGATTTCTGCCGAAGCGGCATTGGCAGAAACGAAAAAGAAAGATCGAATTAAATATCCCTCAAAAAAGAAAATTCGACGTTGAATACCAAACAAAATAGCAAAAGAAAAAACAAAAAGAAAAGAAATGAAAGAAAAGAAATACAGGAAAAAGAAATAAAAGAAAAAGAAATAAAGAGAAAGAAAAGAAGTGGGAAGCAAATGCGGATCCTTCGAGGCGTCGAACTCAAGTTTGGTCTGGGGTGTACGTACACCCGAAACCAAACTTGAATTCAATCGCCGTCGTCTTCGTCGTCGTTCATTTCTGTCGATGTTTCGTTTTTTCTTTTGCGTTTGGCGTCTTCTTGGGCCTCGAATTGTTCTTCTTTCTCCTCTTCAATTAAATTATCTCTTTCAGTTTCTTCTGCAGATCGAAAATCCGCAACTTTCCAATTCAGCCAGAGTCCGTCCAGCGGCTCGTTCGCCGCGCTCACCCGCCGGACTTCGACGGGATTCGTTTCGGAAATGAAGTTCTGAAAACAAGAAGTACTTTTAATTCGTTTTCAATTCAAAACACTTTAATTATTTCTTCTAATTCGACGGGACTTTAATTATTTCTTTCTAATTAATTGCGAGTTTAATTATTTCTTTTGAATTCAGCAAGACTTTAATTGTTTCCTTTTAATTCAAAAACACTCTATTTATTTCTTTCCAATTCAAAAACATTCTAAGTACAATTAAAATGGAATTTAAATCATTTTAAACACCACTAACGAGAACAAACATGCTCAGGCGAAACAAAACAAATAAAGACAGAATTAAAATCCTTCAAGTCCCTTCAACACAAAAAGCAAAACAAACGAAATAAAAGTGGAGCAAAACAACCAATGTCCACTCAAGCCAAAAAACAAGACAAACAGACTGAAAACAAAATGAAAACAGAAAGAAAGAAAGAATTCAACTTCATTCAAATCGAAGTTCACTTGCTGAATCCACCATCAAACAAACAAACTTCAAAAGAAAAGAAAAAGAAAATAAAAAAAAAATTAAATTAAAGTCAAGTTCACTTGTTGAATCCACCATCAAACAAACATAAAGAAAAGAAAAGAAATAAAAAGAATTACAAAAAGAAATAAACAAGCCAAGTTGACCTGCAGAATCCACCATCAAACAGACTCAAAACAAACTCAAAAAGAAAAAAAGAAAAGAAATAAAAGAATTATAAAAAGAAATAAAAGAAATAAACAAGCCAAGTTGACCTGCCGAATCCAAATGCGGAAAGTGCGGGAAGCAAAAGGCCCGTGGACCTCCGCGGCCCTTCGGCTCCACCGAAACTGCCAAAAGACTTCCTCGGGCTCTTCTGCGGAGTTGCAAATATATGTAAAATAGTTCATTTGATTTAAATATATATATATATTGTGTGGGGTTGTTTATATATATATATGTAAAATAGTTCATTTGATTTAAATATATATATATATTGTGTGGGGTTGTTTATATATATATATGTAAAATAGTTCATTTGATTTAAATATATATATATATTGTGTGGGGTTGTTTATATATATATATGTAAAATAGTTCATTTGATTTAAATAT